TCTATAACATTTATGGTCATAGTCTTACATACACTTTTATTTCTATCCAAAAATGGACCTATATGATCTTTTCCAGACTTTTTTTTTTTCCTTAGAGAGAGAGAATTTTGCTATAGGGAACACGTGCTCCTCAGAGGACGGAGAGACAGAAAGGAAGAAATCACCCTACAGAGGGTCTGACCAGGATGCAATCCTTTCTTCTCCATTCTCCTCTCAGGATTTTGGGCACATGCTCACATACACCCAGCATAAGCTTTAAGTCACCAGGTCTGGGACTTGAACCTTGGTCAACTCCCTGGAAGTCCGGTGATGTAACTACTATGCCATCTGCTGATCTCTCTTTTCCAGTCTTCTTCAAGCAGTCATTATGGAATTCTCACCAGATGTCCTCCACGGTAAACATCAAATGCTTGCTCCTAGCAAGGTTGCAAGAAACGATAATAGCCATCCTGCTTACTGCATTTGTGTTTGCTTGTTTGTTTTCAGTTTCGTATTCTTTTCTTCCATATGAGAGAGACAGGCACCCCCAGCAAAGCCCCCATGCTGCAATCTGTCCCAAGTCTCAGCTGGTCTGGTTCATAAGCACGCATGCCCAGTGTGCTCAGGGCGGGCCCAGGGTACAAACCAGGGCCTGTCGCAAGTGATCTAGTCACGTTTCACCAGTCCACTGCCTGGTCCCTGCTACCCCGGCTATTCTTACACTCTCCAGTAGCAAATCCAAGCTTACTTCCACATTCCTAAAATAAGGATGGGCATTAATGCCTTTGGTTCTGAACTGGTAAAATGAATTAATGCATGTGAAAACGTTTTTACAATTTAAAACACCCTGTACACATAACATATGAAAATGCATGTGCGTCCTGGATGGCAACTTGGCCGACTATGAAACTTGTCATTCAAGATGATCTACACAGATCGTCATGGAGATTTCCAAGGCATTCGCAGCTAAGGTTTAATAAATCTACTCGTTTTATACTTTAAAAAAATGTGGTCTAGGGAACCAGCAGTTACGTAATGGCTATGTCGCTGGACTCCCACGTAGTCGACTGCAGTTCACGTCCCGGACCCGGTGGCTTAAAACTCATGCCAGGCGCGTGTGTGTGCATGCCCAAGATCCCGAGAGGAGAATGGAGGAGAAGGGATTGCGGTGTGACCATCCCCCCTGGGAGGTGATTTCTCGCTTTCTGTTTCTGTGTCTCTCTCTGTCTGGTGAGCACACATGCCCTATAATAGCGAAAAAACCTCTCAAAAAATAAAAAATAAAAATGTGGTCTATAGACACAGCTGGCATCAGTTGGAAGCTGATTAGAAATAAAAACCTCAGGCCTGTGCTGTATCTATAAAAGGCCCAGGGAACTTTAACAAGAGCCCCAAGGGTTTGAGACACATAGAGTTTGAGGGGCACCACAGACTTGAGCGTGTACAGACACTTTTACAACTGTTTCTACCTCAAGTATTTATCCTGAGATGATTACATATGTGTGGGAGAGACGTATGTAAGTTATTGCATCTCCATAATAGTAAAAAAAGGCCTACTAATAGAAAACTGGCCAGTGCGGTATGAGCCTTTGTGGATATAGCCCTTTCCCCCACGAGCTTGTTGGTACCTGGCAAGTCTAGGTCCCATTGGCCAGCCGGACAGCTCTGCAGGCAGAGTCTCAGTTGCTGGGAGATGCCTGCTCCTTGGCTGCTGTGGGCAGTCTGGATATGGCTGGTCTGTGCGGCCGTGGACGTGTGTGTGTGCAGCCATGGATACGACTGCTGGGCGTGGTCACGGACATAGGCATGTGTTTAGTTTGGCACAGAAGGGCATTAGTATCCCCACAGAGGTTATCTCTGGGAGGACGCCAGGCGCTCTGCTTCTGCCATCTCCTAAGGGTTTAATAGATTAAAAATGTTCTGGTAGACCCTGATGTTTTGTTTTCTCTGTGTGGTAATCCAGACAGTAATTACTAGCATGGCTTCTATAAATATATAACTAACTAAAGAAGGAAGAGTAAAGATATAATTGGTACTGTCCATGGACTATTAGCAAAATTTATGACCCAGCTGTAACATAAATATATAACTAACTAAAGAAGGAAGAGTGAAGATATAATTGGTGCTGTCCGTGGACTATTAGCAAAATTTGTGATCCAGCTGTAATAAAACAGTTTAATTTTTTAGAGAGATATTTTTGCTATGAGGTGTGTGTACTCACTAGAGAGACAGAGATGGAGAGCAAGAAATCAGCCCCCCCAGGGAGGATGGCCATGCCATAATCACTTCTCAAGATTTTGGGCATGCATGCACATGTGCCCGGTGTGAGTTTTAAGCTTCCGGGTCCGGGACTCAAACTATAACTACATGGGAGTCCAGCAATGTAACCACTATGCTATCTGCTGGTTCCAATGTTCTTTTTCTCAAACTTAGAGCAGTGTTCAGCTCACTCGTTCCCCAGTCACTAATCCTCACTTTTGTTGTTAACTTGTCATAGAATTGCTGTTTATTAGGTAGAGAAAGGCTTTCTCATGACCAGTTCAGTTTGGGAAATTTCAGGAAGAATTCCACCATTGCAAAATACCCTCAGTTCTACACTTCGGAGCTCCCTTCCCTGCTTTATTTCTGTCCATGGGTCTTGTCCCCTTTGCTGCGTGGCTCCCTCCACTAGAAAGCAAGCTCTACACAGGCCGGGAATTTTGTGTCTCCCATCCTTTGCTGTAGCTGCAGTACCTAGAAAGTGGCTGGAATGTAGAAAGCGTTTGGTAAGTATTTGCTGAATGCATGTATGTAACACCTCTCAGGGTCCTCGGGTCCCCTGGGTTTCCTGGATTGGATATAGAGCCCTTCGCCCTCATCATTTAGACTGAATCCCAGGGACTCAGGACTTTGCAGCCTCCTGGTTCATTCCTCTCATAAAAGATAACACTAAGGAACTGAGATAGTGAGCAAAGACATTATTCAACTCTGTGTTGAGCCCGGAAAGGGCAGTGAGCAGGAAGATCTTAGAAGTCCCACTAGGTTCATCCAAGCCAGCACACACACAAGCAGAATAACCAAGATAAGATACGCATCTGGGTCCCAGCCTAGGTGGCACAGTCTGTAGCACACTGGACTGCAGTGTTGAAAGGCCAGCTGGCCTACTGTGGGTTCAGATCCCAGGCCCGGTTGACCTGGAACACACAGTTATACATGTGCTCAAGACCCTGACAAGCAGAAAGCTGGAAGTGGGGGCCAGAGAGGGGGGGTGGGTGCAATTTACCAGACTCTGTAAAGGGCACTTCCATTAGTATCCCCACAGAGGTTATCTCTGGGAGGACGCCAGGCGCTCTGCTTCTGCCATCTCCTAAGGGTTTAATAGATTAAAAATGTTCTGGTAGACCCTGATGTTTTGTTTTCTCTGTGTGGTAATCCAGACAGTAATTACTAGCATGGCTTCTATAAATATATAACTAACTAAAGAAGGAAGAGTAAAGATATAATTGGTACTGTCCATGGACTATTAGCAAAATTTATGACCCAGCTGTAACAAAACAGTTTAATTTTTTAGAGAGATATTTTTGCTATAAGGTGTGTGTACTCACTAGAGAGACAGAGATGGAGAGCAAGAAATCAGCCCCCCCAGGGAGGATGGCCATGCCATAATCACTTCTCAAGATTTTGGGCATGCATGCACATGTGCCCGGTGTGAGTTTTAAGCTTCCGGGTCCGGGACTCAAACTATAACTACATGGGAGTCCAGCAATGTAACCACTATGCTATCTGCTGGTTCCAATGTTCTTTTTCTCAAACTTAGAGCAGTGTTCAGCTCACTCGTTCCCCAGTCACTAATCCTCACTTTTGTTGTTAACTTGTCATAGAATTGCTGTTTATTAGGTAGAGAAAGGCTTTCTCATGACCAGTTCAGTTTGGGAAATTTCAGGAAGAATTCCACCATTGCAAAATACCCTCAGTTCTACACTTCGGAGCTCCCTTCCCTGCTTTATTTCTGTCCATGGGTCTTGTCCCCTTTGCTGCGTGGCTCCCTCCACTAGAAAGCAAGCTCTACACAGGCCGGGAATTTTGTGTCTCCCATCCTTTGCTGTAGCTGCAGTACCTAGAAAGTGGCTGGAATGTAGAAAGCGTTTGGTAAGTATTTGCTGAATGCATGTATGTAACACCTCTCAGGGTCCTCGGGTCCCCTGGGTTTCCTGGATTGGATATAGAGCCCTTCGCCCTCATCATTTAGACTGAATCCCAGGGACTCAGGACTTTGCAGCCTCCTGGTTCATTCCTCTCATAAAAGATAACACTAAGGAACTGAGATAGTGAGCAAAGACATTATTCAACTCTGTGTTGAGCCCGGAAAGGGCAGTGAGCAGGAAGATCTTAGAAGTCCCACTAGGTTCATCCAAGCCAGCACACACACAAGCAGAATAACCAAGATAAGATACGCATCTGGGTCCCAGCCTAGGTGGCACAGTCTGTAGCACACTGGACTGCAGTGTTGAAAGGCCAGCTGGCCTACTGTGGGTTCAGATCCCAGGCCCGGTTGACCTGGAACACACAGTTATACATGTGCTCAAGACCCTGACAAGCAGAAAGCTGGAAGTGGGGGCCAGAGAGGGGGGGTGGGTGCAATTTACCAGACTCTGTAAAGGGCACTTCTCTCTCTCTCTCTCTCTTTCTCTCTCTTGTATATGTATGCATACACTCTCGTGAGTAAATAAATATCATTAATAAAATAAATAAACTGTAAAATGTTATGGGCCTGGGCAAGGTGAGCAACCTAGGAACAGGAAACCTTGGTGTGCTATGACCCAGAAGTTGCCAAGTCTAAGAGAACCAGGCCAGAACGAGACTGTACGTCCCGGCTGTGTGCAAGTCTACATGCAGTCCCTGTAAGACATTCCATCACTAGTCTTGAACTCCGAACAGGAGCCTCTTACTTACTCGGGACTCCTAAGGAAGTCCTAGGAGTCTCAGTTGGCAGGATGCCCAAGGGGGAGGGAGAAGTTCCACCCATTTCTCACAGCCACTAACAACTGTTAAAAACAGTCTGCCTCCCAGCACACAACCCACAGAGAAAACTACTCCGCAAAGGCAAAGGTAAGGAGGCTAGCTGGGAAAGAAGCTGAAATCGAGGCTCTGAACTCTAGACGAGTGGAAGAGCCAGCTCACATCCTTAGTATTGTCATGGACAGGCTTTGTTAAATGGGATGCTATTCGGTATTCAACCAAGACCTTGTAAACAAGGTTGCAACAGAGTCCATAAGACAACTCAGTTCTCTCAAGGGGAAGGAGAGATTGGAATTTGACTAGAGAGGCATTATTCAAATTAGAATGCTTATTAAATTACCACAGCTGCAGTGCCAGTAACCAGATTCCTCCCTTTTGTCCCAGTGAAGCAGTGCTGACTGATCTAGGAGACAATGACAAAGAAGGTGGCAGTGATTGGGGCTGGAGTCAGTGGCCTGATCTCTCTGAAGTGCTGTGTGGATGAAGGGTTGGAACCCATCTGCTTCGAGAGAACTGAAGATATTGGAGGGCTGTGGAGATTCAAAGTGAGTGCCATTTTCTTGTTTCTGGAACAGGCCATGCTGCTGTTTAAGGGTGAATCATAGCTATAAGTGGGTCTTACTGAGGAGTTTCTCAAGGAACTTCGATTAGATTTCCTTTTTATTTCATGTGCAGGAACTGAAGCGATAAGCTGGTTTCTTTCCCCAGGTCAATACTACCGGAGCCAGGCACACGGAGAACCTCTCCTTCTGGATCCAGCAATTGTGTTCCAGCTCCCATTTTATGTTTTCTAATATACTAAATAGAGAATATACAATATTAGAGAGCATGCTACAGAACGGAAGTCACAGGGATTCTCCTGAAACAATCGTTGGCCAAGTGCTACTTCAGACAGTGTGCCCTGGTACTACTGACTTAATTCTTCTCTGATAAATAGACCCTATGTGTTTTCTGAGCTTTATAGAACAATCTAGGACAACGGCTGTGAAACTCTCCATTAACTATATTCTATTTATTAATTTTGTTACTCAAACCCAAATATGGGTTATGCTAGCTATGCTGTAGAATTGGTACACAAATAAGAAAAATACAGTCCCATGTAAAGATTTATAATGAATTTTACTAGCATGTTACCTTATAGTTGAGATCGTGGGCAAACTATCTACATCCCCTTTTACTAGCATGTTACCTTATAGTTGAGATCTTGGGCAAACTATCTACATCTCCATGTCTCAATTTACTCAGTTACATATGGAGATAATAACAAAACTGTAAGTATCCCATAGTGCTGTTTTGAAGATTAAAGAAGATAATTCCCCTAGAAGATTCAGAGCTGTTCTGAGTCAGAGTTCTGTAAAGTGGCGAGTAAGAACAGCTACACATCTCACAGAGGAACAGACAGAAAACGAGGGCAGTAAAGAAAACTGGTTGTACCCACACAGCTGGGGGGATCCAGGCCAAGCCCACATGCTCCTCAGCTGCTGAGCCCACTGATAACTTGTTTACTCACCAAGGTGAAGCAAAAGTTTCGGTTCAGAACTCAAAGGTTACAGGTCAAGCATGTCTAAGTGATGTATGAGAACATTCTAGATGGGAACAAAAGGTTTGAAAGAAAGCCTGAGAAGCAGAGACCATCCAGAGGGCTGTCACTTTGCCAGTTCGACTGGATCTCACGCCAAAGGATTTTTTTTTTTTAACATTAAAGTTCTAAAATGTTTATGGCCATAAGAAACATTTAGAAGGTTTCTTAAAAATACTGATTCCTGGGCACCAGCACAAACTATAGAACAAAATTTTCTAAAATTTTTTTAAAATAAGAATCTCAAATGAATCCTATGATAAAACAAGTTTGGCAAACATTGCACACATACCAAATAAAAATCTGTTCCTTTCGGGACCAGGAGTTGGTGTAATGGCTATGTCACTGGACTCCCATGTAGTTGACTGCAGTTCAAGTCCTGAACCTGGTGGCTTAAACTCACACTGGGCACATGTGTGTGCGTGCCCAAGATCCCGAGAGGAGAATGGAGGAGAAGGGATTGTAGTGTGGCCAGGCCCCCTGGGGAGAGGGTGATTTTTTGCTTTCTGTCTCTCTGTCTCTCTCTTTCTGGAAGTGCGTGCGCCTTATGGCAAAGACCTCTCCAAAAAAACAAAACCTCCAAAAAAAAAAAAAAAGAAAGAAAGAAAGAAAGAAAGAAAGAAAGAAAGAAAGAAAGAAAGAAAGAAAGAAAATCTATTCATTCAGCTATCCAAACACACTCAGAGCTGATGATGGAGAAGGAATCTTTTTTGTAGTTGTTTTTTTAGAGATTTATGCTATGGGGTGCATGCAGTCACCAGAGACACAGGGAGACAAAAAAAGGAAATCACCCCTACCCTTCGGGGGGGATGGACATGCCACAATCCTTTCTTCTCTATTCTCCTCTTGGGATTTTGGGCACACATGCACACACACCTGGTGAGAGTTTTAAGCGGCCAAGTCCAGGACTCGAACTGTGGTCAATTACATGGGAGTCCAGAGACTTAACCATTACACCATCTGCTGGTCTGAGAAGGTAATCTTTATGAGAGACTGCTAGCAATGTAAAGAGGAAAACTGGAAAAATAGCTTGAATTATATTCATTTCTTATTAACTGATCACTAGAATCACAACTTTTCCTGAGAGAGTGAGAGAATTTGGTGATTAGTCTGTCTCAGCCAAAGATTTCTTTCTTCCTGCCACTCTGGATTCATAAGCAGATGGCAGTTGGAATTTTAACTCCTGGTAGACAAAAGTGTAGAAATTTTGGGGACCAGCAGATGGGGTCATAAGTAATAAATTTGTTACTGTTTTGTTTTAGTACCTATTTAGGGATGTACTATCTAAAAGCCAATATCCCTTGTTTGATTATCAATAATTTGTTAGAAGAGGGAACCAGCAGTTAGCGTAATGGCTATGTCGCTGGACTCCCACGTAGTCGACCGCGGTTCATGTCCTGGACCCGGTGGCTTAAAACTCACGCCGGGCGCGTGTGCGTGCGTGCCCAAGATCCCAAGAGGAGAATGGAGGAGAAGGGATTGCGGCGTGACCATCGCCCCTGGGGGGTGATTTCTCGCTTTCTGTCTCTATGTCTCTCTCTGTCTGTCTGGCGAGCGCACGCGCCCTACAGTGAAAATCTCTCCAAAATAATAATAATAATAATAATAATTTGTTAGAAGAGATGACAACTATTTTGAGGGTCCATCAACATTATGATTCAATGAACTCTAGGAAGCTACTCCTACCCCCAAATCTTTCTCCTGCTATGCACTCCCAGTGTCTCAAATTACAGACTTAGAGATACCTTCCTGTGAGTTAGAAAAGTTAGATTAAAATTAGAATTAATTAAGCCTTATTGGATATTAAAGGGTTAAGTCCACAACTCTCTGGAATCTGTAACAGTTTCACATTTCAACCCTCTTTTTAAAAGGTATCCAATAAAGGAGTGTAAACCATTTTCTCCACCCAAAGAAAACAAAGGATCTCTCTGCAGAGTGAAACAATCAGCAAAATTTCTCAGGTTGCCACTGGGCCCTGAGAGGGCCTTGAGAGGTCTTGGGTCCAAGAGCTGGGTTGAGAGAGGAGGGATGGAGAAGAGGCTACCCAGTGGCCTCAGGGAAACTATCTCTTCACAGCTCCATCATCAGAATCAATTAACAACGAGGGCTATTCTTTAATTTCTACATTTTCATATAATTCTTCTAACAGTGTTTAACACATTTAGGGGTGATAAATTATAATAGATAAATATCAGAAGTCTTGCCCCATGACTCCTCCCCGGACAGTGCGGAATTCTTCCAAAAGTTCTCCTGCGCCCCCTAGCGGCCTCTATGTAACATGGGCACAATGAGTAATTACACATTTTCAGCATCTTCCCAGCCATGGGACGCACTGGACGTGCATCATCTCATATTTCTTTACAACTCTCCTAGGAAGTAGGTCTTTTATTGTCTTTATTTACATATAAACAGGAAATTGAGGTTTGGGACAAATAATTCCAGGCGAACACAGGTGGTGGGGAGAGAACAAAGCTGGAGGTTGGTGGGGTGATTGAGCCCTGGCTGAGGTGCTGAGAGAGGAAACACGGTCTTCAGCCACCAACTGCCCTGCCTTTTTGTTCCTGACACCCTGTATTTAGGGGAAGTTACCAATACACGTTGCCTTTTTGCCTTTGGTTTCTCACACGTGTTTAATTTGGGTCTTCTCTTTCCCAACTCTACTTGTGTATGTCCAGTCGTTTTATTTAACCTTCATGTATTAGTCTCTAGGGTTTTCTCTATCTTGGTGTCCTTCCTCTGTTTTCGATCTGCAATATCACTTTCTCTCTTGGGGCCAGCATTTGGTGTAATGGCTATGTTGCTGGACTCCCATATACTCGACCGCCGTTCAAGTCTCAGACCCACTGGCTTCAACTCACACTGGGCGTGTGTGCGTGCGTGCCCAAGATCCTGAGAGGAGAATGGGAGAATGGAGGAGAAGGGATTGCGGCATGGCTATCTCCCCTGGAGGGTGATTTCTTGCTTTCTGTCTCTCTGTCTCACTGTATCTCTCTAGCAAGAGCACTCACGCTATAGCAAAAATCTTGCTATCAAAAAAAAAAAAGTTGATCATGGAAGATAAAACGCAAAGCAGGTACCTGGGATGTCACTAGAAGGGACTTCCTGTGTGGGGCCAGCTCCACCCTGTCCTACACATGCTCTTCGTCTGTTTTCTGTTCCTCGCCACCTCTCTTCTATTCGGTGGGCATGTGCTTATTAACTACATGCCCGGCCCCTTTCACTCAGAGAACAACATAGGGGGCCCGTTTAGAACAAAGCGCCCATTCCCGTGTTTAGCTTTCAGAGGTTCTCTTAGGTAAATTTATCCAGACCCTATCACACATAATTCGGTATAACAGACTTTTGTGTCCTGTTGTCTATTTAATGGATCCAGATTATTTGTATTTATTTATTTGTAGACTTTTGCTATAGGGCAAGTGCTCTCACCAGAGAGAGACAGAGAGAGGAAAAGTGAGGAATCACCTACTGCAATCTCCTTTCCTCTGTTCTCCTCCATGGATTTTGAGCACTCATGCACAAGTGCCTGGCGTGATTTTCAAACTGCAGGGTCTGGGTTTCAAACCATGGTCGGCCATGTGGGAGTCCAGTGCCTTAGTCACCATGCCACCTGCTGACCTCTAATGGAACCAAATTTGACCTGTTAGATATTTGTGACTCTCTAGACAATCAAAAATAAAATAGCATGGTCACTTGGTCTCTTTGCCAATACAACAGTCGAAGATATAGACAGCGACTTCAGAAAGTTTGTGGAAAAAGTAAAGTTTGAGTTTACTTTGCTGCAAAATTATTTGAAATCTATGCATAATTCTTTTATAATATGCATTTTCTATGTACTTTCTAAAGATCTTTCATACTTTCTTTGATTTTTCTCCTTCAATAACCTTCCTTACTGAAGGAGAGGGAAGGAGAAACAGCTCCGAAGAAGGGAGGGGACCCAGAAGTGGGCTGCCGAGGAACTGAGGCGAG